TATAAATCTCAATTATTTAAAAAATAAATTATCAAAATTTTATATAAATATAATATATAAAATTATGTATAAATATTTTTTTTTTCAAAAACTATATTTAAAAATTTATATCACCCTGCAATTTCTTGTCTGGCCAATCCGCCAATACCCATAGCCCACTTAAAGGTAATCAAGTTTGTTTGAATGCTACGCAACTGAGTCAGAGGCGCCCACTATATTAAAAAAATCATCTAACGGATCACTGCAGCGCAATCTACACCGACCGTATCGATGGTCTGGAAATTGGGTGAGGGAGCCCCACAGGATGTTGCCCTGCCCTGCCCAGTGCCCACCAAAACTGCCCATCACCGACCTCATTTTCCTGTTTGCATGACACTTGTACTCCGGGCGTTTCTTTTTCCAGTAAAAGACTGAGATCTCACCGATAAGTCCTATTATTACTCACAGAATGAATTTGATTTTTCTTACATAATATTTTAACTTTGAATTTTATAAATATAAAAACAGATATTATGAAAAAAAATTTATAAAATTTAATATAAATTAATTTTAAATTAATTAAAATTTAATATAATTATTTGATATCATAAAAATTAATTGAAAGAAATTACTGACAAATGAGTGCGAAATCCTGCAGACGCGAAAATGTGAACCAATAAGAAAGCAACACGTCCTCTGTTCGAGGAAGGAAACGTGGCCCACGTGCAGTTCTTTTCCTTTCCCCTGAATTCCGAGATCGTGCATACGTGGTGGAAATGTCGGGCGCCAGCGGTCCAGCGCCGCTGAAGGTGACTTGTATTGAGTGGTTCAGGATGACACGTAAAGAGACCGAAGTCACCTGGTACCTTCTTCGCTCGTCATGTCTTGCGTTTTTCTTTTTTTTTTTTTTTTTTTTTTTTTTTTTTTGTATTGAAGCAAGTTTTTATTACAATTTTTTTTTTTTGCTTGGTTCTGCTTCTATAAATGCACCTCTGTTTATTTTTTTTTTTCTGTATTGAAGCAAGCTTATATAGGAAAAATAAAATCTTGATTTTGATTCTATGATGTATTTTTTAATATGGAAGTCTAAATTGTATATATGAGAAGTTGATTTTAATAATGACATGGAAAGTGGATCAACGACCAATTTATCAAGATTAAAACCAAGTAGATCAAATGATGAGATTGGATGGAAATATAATAAGTTGCAAGATCCTAAAAACTCAAGTCGAGTGATCTATAACTTTTGTAATAAAGTTACCACTGGTGGTATCACCAAAGCTAAAAGGCATCAAAGAGGGATCAAAGGGGATGTGGCTCCATGTCCTAAATGCCCACCAATAATTAGGGAAGAGTTGTGGGCCAATTTACAACAGAAAACCACAACTAAAAAATTAGAAAAGGACATGTTTATGTCTAGTTGTGGTACTGTTGATCTTGAAGAGGAAGATGAAGAGGAAAAACTTATGCCAAGAGAATCAACTTTATCTATTGGTGGTAGAAGTCAAAAGGCCAAAATTGGGCAACACAAAGGCCCCATGGATTTGTACATGTACCAAAAACCTAAGGAAACTCTCGAAAAGAGAAAGCTTGAAAAGTGTAGGCAATCTTTTATAAAAGATTCTATCAAGGAGTTGAGGGCTGAAACAATTCAATACATTGCTCGGTTCTTCTACCAAAATGGCATCTCTTTCAATGTTGCTCGTTCAGAAAGTTTCAAGCTAATGGTAAAAGTAATTGGACAATATGGAAAAAATCTCAAACCTCCTAATTACCATGAATTGAGGGTTTCATGCTTAAATAAGGAGTTGGAGTACACTAAAAAATTAATGGAGTATCGTAGGAAACAATGGCCAAGATATGGGGTCACTATTATGTCCGATGGATGGATTGATAGGAGGCAAGGGAGTATAATCAATTTTTTGGTTAATTCTCCTACTGGTACAATGTTTGTAAAATCTATTGATGCTTCTGCTTTTATCAAAACCAAGGAAACCTGTTTGAGTTGATTGATAGCATTGTGGAGGAGATTGGGAAAGAACATGTAGTTCAACTTATAACAGATAATGGGAGCAATTATGTTGTAGCTAGTAAGTATAGCTATTCTATTGTATTTGTTATTTATTTAACTTTAAATTTAATTTATTAATGCATTTTGTTTTATTTCTCTTAGGTAAATTATTGGAAGAGAAGAAAAAGCACATATTTTGGACTCCATGTGCAGCACATTGTGTTGATCTTATACTAGAGGACATTAGAAAGATTTCAAAGGTTAAGAAGACAATACAAAGAGCAATGAGTCTTATTGGGTTCATCTACAACCATTCAAGCACCTTAAACTTAATAAGGTGATTCATTAACGACGGAGTTGGTTCGATAAGGAGTGGCAAGGTTTGCTACGAATTTTCTATCATTGCAAATTGTGTACAAGCAAAAGGCCAACCTTTGAAAGATGTTTACATTTGATGAATGGACAAGTAGTAAGTTGGCTAAATATGCCAAAGGAGTAAATGTAGCAAGTACAGTAATGGCTGTTTCATTTTGAATTAATGTGCTATATACTCTAAGGGTTATGGGTCCTCTTGTGACTGTTTTGCAGCTTGTTGATAGTGAGAGTAAACCAACAATGCCTTATATTTATGAGGCAACAACCAAAGCTAAGGATGCCATTAAGAGATTGCAAAATGATGATGAAAGTAAGTACAAGGAAATCTTTGAAATTATTGACAATAGATGGGAATGCCAACTTTATCGGCCCTTGCATGCAGCACAGCTCATTACTTAAATCCTGCAATCTTTTATAGCACTCCAAAAATGGATTTGGATTTGAGACTAATTGGTGGATTGATGGCTTGCATTAAGAAGATGGAGCCTAATGTTAATTTGCAACTCAAAATATATCATGAAGCGGCAATTTATAATAGAGCTCAAGGTCGCTTTGGTGATGACTTAGCAATTAAATCAAGGGATTTGAAATCACCTAGTAAGATCTCTTGTATGATGTCACTTTATTTTTCTTGAATTACTTTATGCTTTCTTTTTTTTCTTCTTTTTTTTTTCATTTGCTGAACTTATTATTACTTTATCCTTTTTACTTGCCTTCCTTTGTCAGTTGCTTAACAATTAATTATAATAATTTTAAATTGACTAATAAAATAAGGTTTTGCATTTTTATAGCTAATTGGTGGACTTTGTTTGGGCATTTGGTGCCAAATTTACAAAAGTTGGCTATCAAAATGTTGAGTTTAACATGGAGTGCATCTGGATGTGAACGTAATTGGAGTGTATTTGAACAAGTAAGTTTCTATTTTTATTTTTTACTAATTGAATGAATGAATTAAAAGTGAATTTTTTGTAACAAACATATTTTCTAAAATAAAGAGAATGTAAATTTTGCTTTTTTTCTCTTTCTCTTTTTGCTATTTCAGATTCATTCTAAGAAGAGAAACCGACTTGACCACCAAAAAATGCATCATTTGGTTTTTGTAAAATACAACCAAGCTCTTAAAGCTCGTTATGATATGTGAGATGAGATTGATCCTATTGTTCTAAATGAGATCGATGTCGATAATGAGTGGTTGGTTGGAGAAAGTGGTGAAGTTGAAGATGCTCATAATGATTTGGTTTTTGAAAATAATAATCTAACTTGGGGAGATGTGGAGAGAGCATCAGAGGCAAGAGAAATTAGAACTTATACTAGGGGACAAGCAAAAAAAAATACCGTTGCAACCTTCACCTCTCAAATTCCAGCACTAACTTTTAGAACTCTAACTACAACCTCTAATATTGATGCAATTTATGCTACTAGGATTAGTGAAGAAGCTCATACTTTATTAGATCTTGAAAAGTTAGAGGAGGAAGAAGAGGAGTTTGAGCCTGTTGGAACAAGTCAGAAAAACAAAGATGATGATGATTTGGTGGTTGAGTAAGAAGAATTAGAAGCAGAAGAGAGTGATGAAGATTATTAGACTCTTGAATGATTTTTTGTTTTAAAGTTTTATTATTTGACTTTTTTTTGAATTGATCTTGTCTGATTTTTGTACTCTTTAAGTATTTTATTGTCTTATTTGATTATAATAATCTATGATTTTTATTTGTTAAAACTTGAGAATATTGTTTTTATAATTTTTGATAATTTTTATAAATTCTTAGGTCAATTTATGCTTTTTATTACTAGATTTGTCTCTTATTTTAATTATTAGATTTATATTTTAATTTTTTTATTAAATACCCGCTATTTGTCTATAACGGCCGTTACGCTACCCGCTACGCTATCATAGCGGATTTTGACCTTTTCGTTATTTGCCACTATTTGCTATTAATAACATTGATGCAAAGTATAGCTATATCAAATTCAATACTAATTTTTGGAATCAAAATATAATTCAAAGAATGAAAAA